GGTGTAGAAAAGGAAAAGAGGCCAAGGCAGAGGGAAGGAGATGCAAAAGGTGGGAAAACGGAGGGAAGTGACGCCCAAAGACCTTGCTGCTTCAAGTGTCATCCGTGGACTAAGCAGCACTTGGGAGCTGGTTATAAATGCAGAATTTCAGGCCCTACCCAGACCTACTCGAGTAAAATCTGTATTTTAAGAAGACCCCCAGGTAATCCCTGTGCACAGTGGCATTTGAGAAGACCTATCCGTTGCAGGCTCTTTAATATCAGAAGCAGATGAGATCTGGTGAGAGAAAATTCAGAGCATGTCCTTACCTGGGTGAGCCCGGACACACTACCAAACCTGTCTGAGCATCATTTTCTAATCTGAAATGGAGGCAACAACAACACCATAAGGGGGTTGTTGTGAGGACTAAGTGGGTTGCTGAACAGCCACTTCCAAGATCTCAGCCCTGAGTCATTGATGTTCATTACTTTTTTGTTTTTAAATGCTTGATGATCTTTTCTTAGTTCTAGGTTTAACAAATATATTATTTTAGAAAATTATCTTAGCTAGTGAATGTTTTTAAACCCATTTTTCTTAAGCAATCTAATCAACTAATTCTTAACCCAAACAGGAAATTTAGATTATATTCTCAAAATATGTTACAGACATACATAAATCATGGGAGAAAACACACTTATAAAATTCAATTTATGTACCCGAGCCTCTCAATAATTTATTACCTTAATCTCATCTTTAATCGTTGATGCTATAAAAGATTTTTGACACTATTTCAAATCCTTACAATACTTAGCCCTGATGTCTGGGGGCAAGAATGTGGTTAAGCTGGAAAGGAAGCCTGTCTGAGTGGCACTTGGCACAGGCGGACAAGGAGGCACAGGGGGCTTTGTGAATGAAGCAGAAGCTGCAGTTCAAAGGCGAATCAGACTTGTACCAATATACAAAGTCAAAGGAGGACATGCTGATGACGGCATAAATTGTCTAAAAATTAGGAACAAAACCACACACTTGGTGGTAGCCATGAATACACACACCCAAATTCTGACTCTTCCGTGCAGTCTACCTGCCAGGAACACTCTGGGTTGGTGGGGGCCTGACCTCAGAGCACAGGAATGTGTGTGCACGAAGAGAGGGGATTTACTCCGCAAACAGATGCCATGGAGGGCAGTGCATGTTGACGCGTTTCGGGGCGAGGACTGAGGGAGGCTGGGTATGGCCCTAAGGGTGAGGGTGACACACAGGCCTGGCGTGGCCTCCTGGAGGTGAGGCGGCCATATCAGGCCATGGAGTGAGTGACCGAGAGGGTTACTTTCAAAGGGTCTGAATCCCCATGTCACTCCAAAGACCCCCCTGGGAGTGGCTCCCCCATGTGATCTGCCAGGTACAGTTTTGGGAAAAGAAATCGAAGCCAAGGATTTAGGCTTTAACTGCATGGATTCAAAAAGTCGTTGCCAGAAATGAAAGTTATGACTTCGTCTTCCTTTTTTTTTTTTAAGCCAAAAAAAAAAAAAGTTCACTGAAGTTTTTCTGTTAAGAAGACTTTGTTATGCTGTTCCTCTGGAATAAAAAGTAAGATCTTGCTCTGTTTCTTCATTCCCCAATGTCTTCCTCTTTGGAAATCAAAGCTTAAAAAAAAAAATAAGTCTGTATGCAAGAAACCCAAGTTGGGTTCACCTGTGTTTCTGGCTGGAAATTCACTCAGAAGAATCCTGCCTTCTAATCTTTTTGAGATGTCTCCCCTGGAAGGCAGACTTACTGCCTGCTCAGATCGTGTCATCCCGTGAGGCCGGGCGCAGGTCTGCATCAGCTAAAAGCAGCCGTGGAAGGGGCAGGCAGGGGGCCGGCGGACGGGCTCTGACCCGAATGGCAGATGCTGGACGCACCTCTGGAAGGCGGCTGAGGGTTCCCTGCGCAGCACCTGCCTAGCTTCGCTACCTGCTGCATCTGCAGTGGCTCAGGGGGCCTCGTCGGCCTGGGGTGCCATTCCCCACCTCCTCCTCCTCACGGACTCCCTTTTCATGGACCAGGACCAACGACGTCCCTTGCGTACCCCGCCCTGACTTCCCCAGATGGAATAAACCGCTCCGTCCACCCTGCTTTCTGCACAGCACTTACCCCTCGGCAGTATGGCAGCTAGAGCTAGGGGAAGGCTTGTCTCGCCTGCAAGACTCTGAGCTTCTCAGGTGCGAGGCTATTTCTTCCCCGTATCTAACTCCTCCTCACTCAGCACGGGGCATGACACACAGTGAACGTGGAGATCATTTCGTTTCGCTTTTGAATAAGGCGTAAAATAGCTTCGTTATACTTCAAGACCCCAAAGCAAAGGGGCTTAGAAAAACGGTGCCAAGCGGAAGGCTGAGTAAGTAGAGGGCCCTGACTGCAATGCTTTCCCAGATTCACCTATATGGCTTCTCCTATTTTCCTCCACTCAAGCCTCGGGCACAAAGCAACACATGGAATGTACTATAGAGGCATCTGAGCGCTGAATTAGTTCTCAGAGCCTGGCTGGGATCCTGGTTCCATTTCCCCAGCCTGTGACTCAGGGCAAGGCCTCCTCGAAAATGGCAACAATACATGCAACCATCAGAAATAATCATAAGGAAATCTAAAAAGACAAATGCGAAGAGTTACAGTAGCAAGTAAATAAAAGAAGAATACGAAGTGTTTACACATTTTGATTGAAGCTATATAAAAATATATGTGTACCTGCACAATAACTAGAAAGTAATATGCAAATGAAAATAATTATATTACTGAATGAACTATGAGGAGTTTTCACAAATACTTCTTCATTATTATTATATATTTCCCATTAAAAAAAAGAAAACAGGGGCACCTGGCTGGCTCAATTGGTATAGCAGGTGACTCTTGATCTCGGGCTCATGAGTTCAAATCCTACATTGGGTGTAGAGATTATTTAAAAAAAATAAAATAAGAAAATTGGGGCGAGGCCTTATAGGGATGACATGGCTATAAGATATATGAAAGATGTCTATAAACTCTGGCAAATACATAACCACCAACTTGTTGTTGCTGTTCTTCCTATCACTACCACTGCACCTGAACGAAAAATTCTTTCTAAAAATGGCATTAGACCACAATAGCCAAACTATGGAAAGAACCCAGATGTCTACTGACAGATGAATGGATGAAGAAGATGTGGTATATATACAATGGAATATTATGCAGCCATCAAAAATGAAATTTTGCCATTTGCAATGATGTGGAAGGAACCAAGGGTATTATGCTAAGCGAAATAAGTCAGTCAGAGAAAGACAATTATCATGTGATCTCACTAACGTGCAGAATTTAAGAAACAAGACAGAGGATCACAGGGGAAGAGAGGGACAAATGAAACAAGATGAAACCAGAGAGGGAGACAAACCATAAGAGACTCTTAATCTCAGGAAACAAACCGAGGGTTGCTGGAGGGGAGGGGGGTGGGAGGGATGGGGTGGCTGGGTGATGGGCATTGGGAGGGTATGTGCTATGGTGAGCACTGTGAATTGTGCAAGACTGATGAATCACAGACCTGTACCCCTGAAACAAATAATACATTATATGTTCACTGAACTTAAATTTTAAAAAAATGGCATTAGAGACACACACCTTTCTGTATCCTCATGTACTCTGTATAAAGCCTGTATACTCATGGCCCTCAGGCAAGGCAGACCTAACATATATAAAGCTTTCAAAAAAAAAATACATGTACTCTAGAAAGTTTCCTTACGTAACCCGTCCAGTAACCTCCTGGAGATGTGAATCCCTTCCCCCTCCCGGCCTCACGTGGAACGAGAAGAGAGGAGACCATGATCTCCCAGGCAAACAAGGCTCTGGGGAGCAGGCGGGTGTCCTGCTAGAGCTGAGAGGGTAAGAGGATAGCTGGAGAAACCATGACTCCAGATGCAGAGCCTCCTTAGATATGCGGAAAGTCCTCAGCTCTTCCTTCAAAACCGCCTAGAAAAGGAGGTTGGTCTGGGCAGTTACATAAACAGTGATATTAAAAGTAATCCTGCGATTCTGACGAGTGCCATGAGGGGAGATGCACGCACGGTGCTAGGCTTACCCCTTGTCCACGCTGGCATGGACAGCTGCAACAACACCTTCCAGGACCTGGAGGGGGTCCCCCGACCCACCGAGGTCAGCACTGCCCCCACTGTGAAGGGAGAGAGACAGAACCGATTCAGAAGAGGGCTCGACCTCAGAAAGCAGTGTGGCATTCACACTCAGATGCACCCAGCTGGATTCTGGCAGAAGATGCTGCCAGCTCATAGACATGCGGGGTATATGCAGTCTGCGAGTGCTAAAGATATGGAAATGAAACATTTTCTGCCCTTAAGGAGCTCACAGTCTAATATATGCTTCTTTTCCTATGAAGAAAATAAAATCTACTTGCATTCTGTCATTTAAAAAACATTCAATGGACATTAAATATATGAGCTATTTTAAGCATTAAATATATCATCATCTAAGTTCTCCAGATGGACTTAAAAAAAAACAAACGAATTATTTATGTGGTACTTACCAGGTACAAGTGCTTTACATATTTTCTACCATTTAGTTCCCAGCGGACTACGAGATAGGAACTATTATTATGCCCATTTTATAACTGTGTATGTCTAGAACTCCACTGAATTTTGAAAAAGCAAGAGAAGAAAAGTTTTAGGTGAGTTTTCTGAACAATTTAAGTGATAGGATTTAAATCAACTGCTGGATTCAGTTCTTTACGTGCCTTTGTTATTTTATATCTACTGAATTGTACTAACTTTCTAAAAGGTAAATGTTATGGATGCTGTCAATGGCAATTGCTTTTCCTTTGAAAAGGAGGTAGCTGAACTCCTGAAATTCCCTTTCCTCCCACTGCAGAAAGATTTAGTTCACATTTACTGAATGTCTTCTCTGTGCTAAGCGTAACATTTATTGGAGAAGAACCGTCTTTACAAGTGGAACTGGGCGCAGGGAAAGAGAGAGAAGTATAATTTATGTCAGAATTCTATAACTGTAAAAATATCACATCACATTTTATTTTAATTATTCATGACAATGTGTAATTTTTAGGAAATAAACTAAATTTGTCAAAGCACTAAGTTTTCAAAATGTTTTTATGAGGCTCATCTAAATCTCAATTTCAGAAAAAATAAGAAGATAGCTATGGATCAAAAGGTGCAAAATATGACCAACAAGTGTCTGTCATCATCTGAGAGAGGGGAGCGGGTGGCTCTTACAGCCACCACCAAAACATAGTAAGCTAATAACAGAACAAAGTTTTATTAATTTGACATTTGTTATTTCTTAAAAAAATGTTATATTTCTCTCTCTCTCTCAAATTACCAGATACCGCAGATCATTAAGGTGAAAACTGTAGGAGGCTGGGGTAATTAAACTGATAAAGGCTCATTTGATTTCAGTTCAGCTGTGGAAAACTGACATGCATTTAATCAAAAAGTTCCTCAAGAGCAATGAAGAATTACAAAGAAGGCTTAAAAAGAGAATACATTAAACACAACCAAATCTTTCAGCCTAATTGCATTATTCACAGAAAGCACTTCATGCCTCATTCTTTTCTGAGCTTAACTTTCCCCCCGCTTCCCTAACCCTCCTGGATGCATTCCCACGAAGACATGGGCACACTGACAGAGAGCTCGAACTTCTCAGTTGTTGGTTTCATGCCATCAACTGCAGGTAAATAAAACTCTAAGACACTTAACAGATGTCTAAACCTTCAGTATATGATTAACCTTGCCTTGTGTACTTCAACAGGAGCTTCTGGGACCCATTTGGCAGCCTCTACAAGGAAGGGGGAGTAGAAAAGCCAAGAGCTGCACATCCACCTGGGTCCCAAGACAACCTGACGCTCGGCTACCTCCCACACAGGCCATTTTGGCCTTACCCTATTTCAAGAATTATTTGGGGGCCGGGGGAGAAGAGGGTCTAGCTGAAAGTTAGTTTGAGGACACACTACACACAACACCAGTGGGGAAGCATTTTCATGGTTCTCCATTCTCAAGATCTCTTAAGACACAAGACTCTGAGAAATCTCATGAACATGTCCCGCTTTTATAAAGTACTTCATCGTTCATAAAATGCTTCTACATACGTGGTATTTTTTCTCCATTACTGCGAAATGAGCACTACTACCAGCAACTATCACCGCAGGTTTCCAACGACTCTTCTCTAGCCTACCTCAATGCAGAAAGGATCTTCCTTACTGCATCCTGCACCACATCCTTGGGCGAGATGTCGAGAGGGCCCACGGCCACCTGCAGCAGCTGCTGAATCATTCTTAGAGGCAGACCGTCCAGACACATGGCCACAGCTTGGTCATGAAGTTTCCCTTTCTCTGATCGGGACAGATCATAGAGGTCACCGTACTTCCGCAGTGTTTCCTGCAAAGATATGGCATGCAACACCTGAGTATCAAACAGGAACTCAGTGTGTCCACATGTACGCAGCAAAGCATATTTAGAAGATTCTCAAACCCCACACTGAAGAACAGGCAGTGGTTAGTAGGAGTGGGGGCTCCAGGGACACCAGGCTTGGGGACAGATCCTTGCTTTACCATGTAGTAGTCTGTGGGCCTTCAGTGGCTGCAAAATGAGGAGGAGGACAGAGATTCTTGCGAACAGGGCGTGTCGTGAACATTAAATGAGAGAATGTAAAAGGCCTGTAGCACAACGTCAGGCCCAAAGTAAAGCTCATGAAGCGTAAGTTTATTATTGTGACTGGGCCACAACCACGTGACAGCTCAGGTCCACAACCACCAGCTGCCAAACCCAGGTAGTACACGTGTGTCACCTGATTTAATACTTCTAATAATCCTGCAAAGAGTTTTCATTAGCTCCATTTTGCCAAAAAGTAAACTGAAAACCGAAAATGTAAAGTAACATGCCCAGAGTCACATGGCTAGCAATTCGGGAAATGAGGATCAGAATCCAAAAGACTACATTTCCCGGCCCCCATGCCACACACCTGCCCCTCTGATAACGTCTGTAAAAACCAACGTGACGATAAATAATGTATGAAACAGGCCACAAGCTACTGTTTTTCATCATACCAAACACGGTCACTTAGGGTAAAGAATGCTTTCCAGGTTCTGTATAGCTTCTCAGGTAATCTTGAATATGCTCTCTTGTCTTTCAGAACCACCACGTAAAATCCAAACTTTAGCTGGATAGTTGATGATATTAAAGAACTGCTGTTAATTTTTTTTTATTGTGATCATGTTCTAGTGGTGTGTTTACATGCATCCTTTAGAAACAGATGTGCAAGTATTTACGGATAAAGTAAACCAGTGACTGGGATTTTCTTTAAAATAATCCACAGGAGCGGGGTGAGGGTAGGTGGGAGTATGCATGAAGTAAGAGAGGTCATATTCTGATCACTGGTGAATGACTGCCCTGGGAGTTTAGCACACGACATTTCATTTTACTCTTCTCCCCGCTGTGAAACTTCTAGTAACAGAAAGTGCCCGTGAGTGCAACAAGGCAGCTACTCTTATGCGTCCTGAGCAAGAGGGAACCGAGGCACCACAGGATAAAGGCCTCTCGTCTAGACTGCACTCACCTAGGGTACAGGGGATCTTCTTGCACTGGGTGTACAAGTGAAGAGGTTAAAATTAAGGTCTGAACTTAAAAGGGACAAATGTATGAAGCTGAAAGTGATTTCCAGTGTTTGCTATGAAAAGCACCTGAATAAAATCAAATAAGGTCCACTTTAGGGACCAGAAGTGTCTGCTATTATGGACCATCCATGGTCTGACCGAATGGCATTTGCAAGCAGCCACTGGTACCTTTAAATCACAGCCGAGCGCGAACAAACGGCTGTTTCTGTTAATCATCCCCCCGACCTCATATACATTGTTCTAGTCACTCAAAGACAATACCTGTTCCAAGGAGAGGGATGACAATTCTCCAGATTTGAGCACCGTATATTTAATTTAAAAAATAAGACAAGTATTTAATTTTTATACTAATAAGTATAATCACTTTTACTTGAAGAATTCAGATTTTACCCTAGTTCTCATAATTATGGATTATAGCGCTGTACATGTCAGTAGGATAAAATCCAGATTGGTAAAGCCAATTTGTTCCCTGCAAAGCCTTCTCTATTGCTTGTACATCATTTAACGTGATTCATTAGACAGGCTAATAGCACTGAAAAATACAAAATGAAATAAAACTACTATCAAACTTTGGAATTCTTCCCATCATCTTTTCCATGAGGGCTTTGCATTTATGTGTCTCATACAAATTTTGAAGTCTTCCATTTGTTCATTATCTGAACTGCTCTCCACTGACCCGCCTTTCTATCAGGAAGAGCTCTACACAAGCCAAGAATACAATTCAATCAACATGTACGGTGTGAGAAAAATAAAAGAGGAGATTAGTGGCCACTCAGAGCTTCATTTACCATCAACATTAAATGGGCAAATGCAAAATTACTTAGACATCTAAACATTGTTTTCACCTACATGAAACCATTTACTGATTGATCTGTCAACTTCTCAGTTATGGAAAAGAATAGCTAAAACTCTCTGGGCTGGAACGGTACAGAAGAAAAACTACAAAAGCTACAGAGGATTTCCCCGAGCTGTCCTCACACACTGGGCCTCACGTTTCCTCATGGGCAGCGGCTCCGGACTCTTGTGAGGGTATTTTCTGAGACACCATGAGAGTCTCAACTGGAAACCAAGTAGGAACAATTCTACTAGCCAAAATAATTTATATCAATAATAAAATGATATTGGAAACATGAAATACAAAAAAATAGGACAAGTGCATATAACTGGAAAAAAAAACCAAAACCTGTTGAAGCAGGTACAGATGGCTCTTTCTGAATTTTTCTGAAAATGAGGGAGAAAAAAATCTATCATTTTTCAGTTGAGACAGCAGAACACCTACCAGCTTGTTGGGCTTGCAAACCACTGTCCTGATCGCTTCTCAGCTTCAGTGACCGCTCCCTCCCCCAGGTACCCAACCTGAGTTCAACTCAGGGTTCTTTCCCCCATCCTTCCCACCTCCTCCCTGCCAGAGATTAATCCTGATAAGTGGCCTCAAATTCTTTTCAAAGAACTGAAAACCAAATCGACAATCAAGAGGTAATGAAGAAGCTAAAGGATAAATGATGAAGGACCATTTTTAAAGACATCTGCAAGATTGAAAACCCTAACAAAACCACTAATATGGCTTGAAAGGAGAAATGAAAGTGGGTACTGATGTTATCTGAGTGAGTGAGCATGGGGAACAAGTTTTCACTTCATTACCTGCTCACTATTCTTCAGAGAAACAAGGAAGCTGTGGTTGAGGGTTTCCAGGTGAGCAAGTGATTTCTCCAGATGATTCAGGGCATCTGCATAGGTCATTTTAGAGTCACTAGCTTCTTGAATGTCCTCTTCCAAATTTCTTTTCCGCAGCTTCTCAGTAAAATGTTTGACTGTCTGAATAGCCTTCTTAGTCATCTCTTTACGTGCTTCCACAGACAGCTTCAACACAAAAAGGGATTGAACAGTGAGACAAGCCAGCCCCACGTTATCAGAGACGGCATATTTAACAAGGGACTAGTGAGGCAGAGAGAACCAAAGTGAAATGTTGGCATACAACTTTAACCAGTGAATAGGCTTTTGTTATATTAGCTTTTCTTCTGTGAGGAAAACAACAACATGAGGGACCATATGCGCTATTAAACTAGTAAATATAGATTTTTTTAATCTAATATGCAAAAGTAGGCAGTATATGATGAAACTAGCATTCAAACAGAGTCCTGGTTACAGTGAAAAAAGGAGGAATCATTTCTACAACCACAATTACCAGTTTTGATAATTTACTATAAGGAAATGATTAAAAAGAAGAAAACAGTATTGGCATGAAGATTTTAACTGGAATAAGACTATAAAATAAAACCTCAAAAGCAATCTAATTGCCTGATATAAAACAAATGGTAACTAACTTATGATAAATTACTAGATAGAACATTATGCCATCATTAAAATTAGAAATTATAAAAACAGTATAGCAATTTGCAAAGTGCTTATCATAAAATTTTAAATTTTAGGCATCAGAAATCAAAACTGTCTACATTGTGCTTATATTAAAATCCAAACTAATCCTGTGTGTACGGCTGAACACAAATACACACACACACACACACAAATATTAGTGACTACTGATGTTAACATGTTGGGATTATGAGCAATTTTGTTCTCAACTTTCCAAATTTTCTATAATAATGTCATATTCACTTCTGTACTTACCAAGTATTTATTGAATTCTGATATGTGAGAGTCATTTTGTTAGGCATGCAGGAATCATATTTTTCTATTATTAAAAATATTAAGCTTACTTGGCCTGAAGTCTGAACATAACCCATCCTGACGGAGGCACCACACATCGGTCAGCCACGTTGGGCCTTTTCAGGCCCCACTGATTTGTGCTGCTTTGGATCCTAGATTTAGCCTCATGTCAACTACTCAAGCACATTTTTACTATAGCCTTAAAAGGGCGTTGTGTTAATTTAAAGAAATAAATAAAATAAAAACAGAGTCCTAGGGCAAAATCTTATCTTTACTATTATTTCTTAAAATCAGTTACCGTGTGTCTCTGGTTATCCTGAAAAGTTACCACAGGCATCAAAACATGGCATCAGTGACCGTACTCGGAGGCCAACCCCTCCCAACCTCCCATTTCCCACCAGCTCCCTCCAAGTCACTCTACACAGAACTCATGTTGTATAATGCAGATGGCTGACATCTTCTTCATCCCATGTTCATATGGGTAAAAGGTAACTTTAGGAAGTACTATTTCCACTGAATTTTAACTAAGTGTGTGCTTTGCAAATGCAGCTTCAAGTAAGCTTTGTGGCCAGACTGCTACCTCCAAGCACTCATGACATACAACAAAATCAGAAGCCCCCAACTGACAGGCAAGTAGTTACATTATTCTCTTCACTTGCATACACTGTGAACTCTTTTCTGTGGTGGAGAAATAGAAGATAATAGACCTTGTGTAGTTCATAGCCCTCCTTACTTCGCCCATCATGTGGATGGAAAGACTGAGCCCCAGGGAGGTTGTGAGATATGCTGGGGTTCCTCAAGCAAGAGACAAGACTAAAAGCCAGCATCCAGGTGCCTGGTTATGGAGCTGGTGCTGCCCTTTCCCCGCACATCACACAGCTTCCACTTTGCCGGGGCTACCTCCTCACAGGCTCTGACAGAGCGGTGATGGGTGCATGCTGGCTGGGTGCTCCACAGAAGCAAAGACAAGTAAGAATATGGCAGAGTGAACCCTTCCTTTCTGTTCACTCATATTTGTCTCCCCAAGAAAGACAGGTTTGGGGAATATTTGGATATACCAGCTGGCCAAATGTCTATTCCCTCCTAGCCTATTGAGGGCCATGGAAGAATTTCAACCACAGACCAGCAAGAGAGTAGGGACAGGGCGGGCAATTCACACGTGCAGGGAGCAGCGTCCTGGGAGAAACAGCTGGTCTCCATACCCTGGGACAGGTCCAGATGCGGTCTTGGTTGTCCAAGTTTTAACGTGCCATTGTCAACCATCCCTGGAATAGCTAGGTAAGTAGGAAGGGCACTCACCTCAGATAACCTGGGCTTAATGTTCACTACTGGGTGACTAGACAACTTGACAACATGCTTCAAGCCTTTGTTTCTTCTGTGTGAAATGTGAAAAATCTCATCTAGTATGCAATGTCCTTCTGAGAATTTAAATGAGATAATATATAAAATAAGCTGAATTGTAATATGACCAACTGATACAATACACAGGCCATCTTCTACCAGTTAGTTTTTTTTATCTTCCTAATCAATTTGCCACATAATCCCTTCTAGAAAAACCTTTTCATAAGCTCGGAAAATTCCTTGGTATGGTACTTCAGGACTTTCACAAGCTGGCTCCAAGCTAACCTTTAGTCTCAAATATAATTGTAGCCCCCATTCCAAGCTCCATACACATAAATTTTTCATCATTCCCTGGGGTCACTAGGTATCTTGTCTCAGCAAAATGCTCTCTCCTCTCTTCTTTGCAAGGCACATTCCTACCCGTTTTAATACCAAGACACACACAAGTCATCCTGGACTCATCTGTTTCTTCAGACTGGCTAGTCCATCAGCAGATCTTCTATTCCAACAAGTGCATCATCTACTGGCTTATATACATGGAAACTCTAACTGCCCAGCAATACTGAGTCTAGGCCTCACACTGATGTCTGTGCTTTCCTAGAACCTGCTATGGAATGGCCACAGAATGGCCACTAGGGGCAAGTGAATTTTCTGGGAGCTTAAATTACTGGACCTCATCACCAGTGTTGTCAGAAAAGGTCCCCCCACCCCTTATGTTTAATAATCTTTCAGAATAACTAAATAACCCAAGAGTTACTAAGAATATAGAGTGTAAACAAATGCAACCCTAAATTAATTTTCCTGAGGGAGCTGGGCCTGTATAGAGGCAGAATGATATTATGATAGAAGATATAAGGACTGGGCATTTTGCTTCATTGGACACTTAAGCTTTTCACTCTTTACTTTATAAAAACAGGTCTGTCACTGAAAGACTATAAGGTGAGATTAGGAAATACAAGTTTCGGGAAACCTAGGTGGCTCAGCTGGTTAAGGGTCCAACTCTTGATGTCAACTCAGGTCTTTATCTCAGGGTCATGAGCTCAAGCCCCACATTGGGCTCCATGCTGGGCATGGAGCCTACTTAAAAAATAATTAAACCAAAGCTGGCGGCATCACAATTCCAGACTTCAAGCTCTATTACAAAGATGTCATCATCAAGACAGTATGGTACTTGCACAAAAACAGACATAGAGATCAATGGAACAAAATAGAGAGCCCAGAAATGGACCCTCAACTCTATGATCAACTAATCTTGACAAAGGAAGGAATGTTCAATGGAAAAAAGATAGTCTCTTCAACAAATGGTTTTGGGAAAACTGGACAGCCACATGCAGAAGAATGAAACTGCACCATTTCCTTACACCACACACAAAAATAGACTCAAAATGGTTGAAAGACCTCAATGTGAGACAGGAGTCCATCAAAATCCTTGAGGAGAACACAGGCAGCAACCTCTTCAACCTCAGCTGCAGCAACTTCTTCCTAGAAACATCACCAAAGACAAGGGAAGCAAGAGCTAAAATGAACTACTGGGACTTCATCAAAATAAAAAGCTTCTGCACAGCAAAGGAAACAGTCAACAAAACCAAAAGACAACCGACACAATGGGAGTAGATATTTGCAAATGACGTATCAGGTAAAGGGCTAGTATCCAAAATCTATAAAGAACTTATCAAACTCAACACCCAAAGAACAAATAATCCAGTCAAGAAATGGACAGAAGACATGAACAGACATTTCTGCAAAGAAGACATCCAAATGGCCAACAGACACATGAAAAAGTGCTCAACATCACTCGGCATCAGGGAAATCCAAATCAAAACCTCAATGAGATATCACTTCATACCAGTCAGAATGGCTAAAATTAACAAGTCAGGAAACGACAGATGTTGTCGAGGATGCGGAGAAAGGGGAACCCTCCTGCACTGTTGGTGGGAATGCAAGCTGGTGCAGCCACTCTGGAAAACAGTATGGAGGTTCCTCAAAAAGTTGAAAATAGAGCTACCCTATGATCCAGCAATTGCACTACTGGGTATTTACCCCAAAGATACAAAGGTAGTGATCTGAAGGGGCACCTGCATCCCAATGTTTATAGCATCAATGTCCACAATAGCCAAACTATGGAAAGAGCCTAGGTGTCCACCAAGAGATGAATGGATAAAGAAAATGTGGTATATATAACAATGGAATATTATGCAGCCATCAAAAAATGAAATCTTGCATTTGCAATGACACGGATGGAACTAGAGGGTATTGTGCTAAGCGAAATAAGTCAATCAGAGAAAGACAAGTATCAAATAATCTCACTGCTATGAGGACTCTGAGAAACAAGAGAGAGGATCATAGGGGAAGGGAGGGAAAAATGAAACAAGATGAAACCAGACAGGGAGACAAACCGTAAGAGACTCTTCATCTCAGGAAATAAACTGAGGGCTGCTGGAGTGGTGGGGGGTGGGAGGGATGGGGTGGCTGGGTGAGGGACACTGGGGAGGGTATGTGCTATGGTGAGCGCTGTGAATTGTGTAAGACTGATGAATCACAGACCTGTACCCCGAAACAAATAATACATTTTATGTTAATAAAAAAAATTAGATTTTGTAAAATAATGTTAAAGTGCCTAAATTGTTCTGCTACTCAAAAAGTATGTATTCAGCATCTATTTTGTAGGCCCTGTGGAAAAATGAGAGAAAACACGAGCCAGGCTCAAAGAAATCATATTTAGTATAAGAAATAAGATGGTGGGAAGGGGAAGAAATTGAGGAGTCATCCCTGACAGCTGCGAATCTTACTGGGTCTACCTTTGAAATACATCCAGACTCTACCCAGTTTCCCCCATGTTCATGGCCACCCCT